AAGAAGTGTACAGGTATTAGAGAACTCTTTTAAAGGTGAGAGAAGTCATCCAATCCTGGAACCTCAACTGTAAATGTAGAAAGGGAATGCAAGATCGTGGAGGGCCGGGTGTGTGCAAGCAAAAGGCAAGGCCTGGGGACCTGGAGAGAGCACATTGCACCCAAAGGCATTCAAATTCCTGAATAAAAGTATTGATCCAATACAATGCATTTATGACACGCTATGATACTGGTCCAACTAACTTACTCACTAGGCTGCGTTCATGGGTTAGAATGAACAAAGGGGCTTGTCTGCCTTCATATAAAGAATGGAGTAGTGGTCCTCATGCCTATAAATCTTCTTGAATCACTTTATATCCCTTATGATATAATTGCCTAATTACCCTAACACCACAAACATCTGCTGATGTGTGAATACTCTGAAAGCAAAACTCATATTTTTACTTCAATGAATATTAAAAATCAAAACAAAACCAAATTCACTATAAGAGTCCAGCGATGTCCCCACCTAAGTCTCATGTGTGTTACATATGTGCATGTGTGTATATATGTAATCTCCATGTAATCTATATGTATATATTAGGAGCTAAGTGAATTCTTGAACCTATTAAATAGCAAGTGCCAAGGTACAAAGTGGTTTCTTTGTAGCAGTTCAACTTTGCTCCCTGCGCTTTAACTGGAGGTACACTAAATCCTGGGCACACTTTAAAACCATTGTCCTCCAGTGACTTTATAAAAAAGATTAATAAATAAAAAAGTTTGAATAAAAATCCTTAATCCTTATCTCCCTAGCTTTATATCCTATTGTTCTGAGTAACTGATATGTGTGAAAACACGCTCATTTTCAATATAGCGAAACTTCTGACTCACAGGGAACAACTTTTAAATTGTTCACACAATTCTTACCAATCAGCTGGTTCTGTGCAAAGGAAATAGGAATACAGAAACTTAATCACTTCCCCTGTGAAAAATCACTGTGTCTCCCTGATCAGAGGAAAATCAGATCCTAGAAGGTCCTTTTCCTCCAGATGTCCACTATTTCCTGGCTGTTTCATTTAAATCACAACATTGTTGGTCTGAGCTATAACTTCATGAATTTTTCCAGGCTAGAGTGGATGTTATGAATACACGTCTTAGGAAAGCCTAGTGGCAAATATTCCATCACTAGAAACTGACATTACAAGTATGCTATTTGTTCATCTTAAGATGGGCTTCTTTGGCAAACTGGTCAATCAGAACTGCAATAATGGCAAAAGGCTGGAGTCAAGGCATATATTTTAGGGGAACAAGTCATGGTACTTTTCTGTGTGTTACATCTGCTCTTCCCTTTTGCTATCTTTTTGCCTTTTGCTATCTACATTTTGAATGCTTTTCTTTCAAGCTTTGTGTGATCGGACACAGACCTTATGAGATTTGTATTAGTTGGATTTTATCAGAAATTCATCCACATCTGACTAAAATAGATGATTGCAATGGAGTGCTCTTAGGCTGAAACCAGTTCTTGTTATACTAACTTACCTTGAACCAAAAAAATATGAACAGTGATCCAGTAGAATGTGGTAAATAGATATCTACTAACCATAAAAGGATTTACCAATATTTATGGTAAAAGAGACTAAAAGATTTAGACTGACCACGTAGGTAGGTAGGCAAGGTAGGTAAAGTAGGTAGAGAGGTAAGTAGACAGACAACCAACTCACTGAGGTCTAATAATACATCATACAATATATTCATTTTAAGTGTAGGATACACATTTTTTGAACAAGAACTTTTAGCCTTATAGAGACCAAAAGGTGCCATGGAGTGCTCTTTGCTCACCCTCTCCTACAGGGAAGCTCAGACAAGTTGAACCAAACCACACAGATGGCCAGTGGCTAAGTGAGGAGGGCATGCCCAGTTTTGAGGTTCTAATGAAAATCAGCCCACTGATTTTCCATTATGAGTAGAAACTCATCCTTGTGGGCAGAGAAAAGGACTACACATAGCAGCCAGGGTGTATACAACAGCCCTGGGTTCCTATCCAGTTAAAAATGAACATCCAACTGCAGGCTGCAGAGATAAGAAATGAACTGTCTTAGTGACATGAAGGGGGATGATGGTTATGCTGAACGAAGGACTGAGAGGGTTTATTGAACTGGAAGGCTGAGGTGTTAAAAGTAATTTCAACCAATGTTAGTGTTTAGATGCTGACAAATAAAATTTATAAATGACTTTTTAAACTGCTTCCTCGAGCAACAAGAGCTGTTATTGTCACATCGATTTTGAAATTAAATGTTACGGAATTTCCTTGCTTTAATGAGAAGGCAGATCAAACTGGTAAGCAAAGTAATGATTGAAGCAATTAAAAGAGTAAAACTGAGAAATAAAAATAACACTATTCCTAATCCTTAACCCAAATAGGCAGGTTTTGCTGATTCGCTTAAAAAAAGATGTATGTTGATCTTGAGGTGAAAGTATTGAGAAGAGATGCTCGCTAGGAATAAACTGCCCTTTGGTAAGAAGAAAAAAGTCAATTAGTAATGTCATTTGTTTAAAACTCTGCCTGCACCTGGTTCTCATTTGTCCTCCAGCTGAGAAACCAAAGACAACTTCTTTTTATTGCTTGTGGTCAAACAGCAAGTTCATTTCGCCACGGGATGATCAAACGGCCAGCCTCCCCCAGCTTGGGAAGGTTTGCCTTTCACTTTCAACTTGTTCAATCATCATTAACTCTGAAAATTGTCACATTCCATTTGTGCAATGAAAATTTCATCACTGGTGACCGTTTGGGTGAAGTTTTTGTAGGCGAGGTCCTAAATCTTGTAGAGCACCTCACACATTCTCAAGGTCATTTGCCTTGTTTCCTTGTTTAATGACAGTTGCCTAAGATCCAGGAATGAGTCTGTGACCTGTCATCAGCAACTCTGAAGACCTTTGTGTGTGTGGGTACATGTTACCCTCTCTGAGACTGAGAGGGATCGGTGGGTAATTTGCTACAGGCATTTCATCTGAGAAAAATTAGGGTGTGTACATGCATGTGCACACATGCACACACAGATATACACACACCCTCCTTTGTTACATATTACGTGCACATACACTGGGATTTTTACTGGGAAAACACTAGTTAAAAAGATTGCTGGACAGAGTTTATTTCAAAGCAGGGATTTCTCACTCTGGGAAACCAGCTTTGCTGGAGAGGCTGCAGTATCAAATTGGGGAGAAAAGTTTCTGGAAAGGAGAAATAAGCTTCTTTTTACTTTTGCCATTAGGCTTGAGAAATCTTCATCTTCTTTGTTTATTATTTAATTATATGTCCCCCTCTGCAGATAAGTTCTAAAATGTTAAATCCCAATGAATCTGGCACAGGGCCAAATTTCCCACAGGCCCTCTCTGAATATGAATTTCTGAAAGTGGGTGTCAAGTAGTAAGATGGCTAAATTAAGAGGTCACTAGATCCAGATTCTTTTCTTTTATATTTTGAGACAGAGTCTTGCTCTGTCGTCCAGGCTGGAGGGCAGTGGCATGATCTTGTCTCACTGCAACCTCCGCCTCCGGGTTCAAGTGATTCTCCTGCCTCAGCCTCCCGAGTAGCTGGGATTACAGGCGCCCGCCACGACACCCAGTTAATTTTTTGTATTTTTAGTAGAGACGGGGTTTCACTGTGTTAGCTAGGAAGGTCTTGAACTCCTGACCTTGTGATCCATCCGCCTTGGCCTCCAAAGTGCTGGGATTATAGGCATGACCCACCATGCCAGGCCTAGATCCAAACTCTTTTTTTTTTTTTTTTTTTTTTGCACTCAGAAAATGACTGGGTTCCAATTCATAGATCCAGACTCTTAAATAAAGCATAGAGTGTACTAGGGCAAGTCAAATAAGTTTTTTGCCATTTGGCAAGTAAGTCATAGCTAAAATAGGCCCCGGCTATAGGTCTTGATTTAATTTTCAAGGCCAAACCTAAGAGAATATATATACAGAGCTACAGACCTCTCCAGCATCTTAAGCCTGGGTGCTGACACTCTTATTAAATAGTCTACAAGAGGCGCTTCTTGGTTTCCAGCACTAGTTTTCATTCCAGGGCTTCACTGAGTTAGCTGCTGAAATAAGGAGGATAGGAGCAGGTCTGAATCACAGACACAATGTCTTGGCTCTTTTCAGCTAGCTTTGGCACATAACATATTAAAATATTTACTGTTGCCAAGATCCAACTTTTAATTGACTAGCAGAATTTGGGGATAGGAGAAAGGGCAGAAATAATCTAATGATTTTTCCAATTCCTCTGGCTAAAAACCAGACCCTGGATGGGGACTTGAGAAATTATGTACCTTCTAAAACATGAAAGAGAATGTTCTGCCCTTTTAGTGGCTAGGTTGACAGTACCAACTTTAAAAAAAAGAGTTCAGTCATATTAGGCTATTGGCTGAAAAAAGTTTGTGTGTAATTTCACAAGTGAAATATTTTTACTCAAAGACTTGTATATGTGCCCTGTATTCTTTTAAGTGTTTTATAACATTAATTCCTTTAATCCTTGTAGTAATTACAAGAGTTAAGTAACAAACCCAAGGTCACAGAACCCAGGACATCTGAGTCTATAGCCATTAAACTATGAGCTATACTTTTTCAGGAAGACTTCTCAGGATATGCAACCCAAATGCCCATTTATCTGCTGCTTCACGTTGGGCAGATGGTGTTCAAAGAGAAAGATGTTTGATCTGTTTGTTCCATTTCACAGGGATTGAAAAATGGAGATCAAGCCTCTAAACGCTTCTTTCTCCTTACACCGATTTCTACTGATGGATCCCAAGTGAGCTAGCAAGCTCTCCCTTCTCTGTGTCTGTCTGTCTACATTTGTCTTTCTCAGACACACACACACACACACACACACACACACACACACACACACACACACACACAGCTATTACCGTGCTTCAGTAAAGCTGTACCGGGCTGTGATCCAGGCATAAAAACAGACATCATTTGCTCATTAGAGCTAAGTTTTCAGGACGTGCCCCACTTACTGACCTCCACTAACGGCCTGGGTTTGCGCTCGACTGCAAACCTGAAGTGGCAGAGTTCACAGTAGCTGGTGTTTGAGGATGACAGCCAATGCTCCAGGCAGCTCCGATGAATTGTCCCCAAGGTCCCTGTACATTCACATGGAGAGAGCAAGTCCTCTTGGCTGCTGCCCTCATGGCAGATCCTGCACATCGGCCGGTCATTGAAGGGGCTGCAAGAGAAGGAGGGGTACCTGCTGGTCACTGGGCTGGAAACCTCTACCAAGAGGATGGCCCTCTAGCTCCTGTCCTTTGGGCCCTCCCCAGGGGCAGCTGCTTTAAGACCTCTTAGATGTACACTTGACCTTGGCAGTAGGGCAAGTGGCCCTGGGCACTACGGTACACTTGGGTCATCTACTTGTGATGACACCAAGAAATAGGGGATTGCCAATATCAAAGTAGCTAGGTGTGGCCCAGGATCAAAAGTGAGTGAAAACAAGCAATGGATATTTTTGCCTTGAACATAAATGTAGTTCAGGCCAACTACCAGTCCAAAAATAAGAACCACCCTTCACCATTAAGAATAGTTACTGTTTTGAAATGACAAACTGAACCTTTTGGACTAAGCCAGGACATGTTTGTATACCCAGAGGTTCCTTTCATTTCTCTTTTCAATAGGGTGGGAGAATGACAGGAAGGAAGTTAACCAGCAGCAAGCTCTGTAGCCACTACACAGAACTGCAGTCTGAGCCACAGCACAAAGCTGAACGGTGGATTGTCCTTTGAGCTTTCACAGGATGCTCTATGGGATGCCACAGATACCAAGCTGAAAGTGAGTAATGAGTATGTCCTCCTGAAGCAGCCTCAGTCTAGAGTTCTGCCTTTAATTTGGAAAAACCACTCCTACACATTTCATCAAGGCAGCTTAGTGTAGTTAGTGGTTCATGGTGCAGGCTTCAGAATCCAACTGGCTGGACTCAAACCTCAACTCTGCTGTCTATCACCTGGATAACTTTGAGGAAGTAACTTCATCTCCCTGTACTTCAGCCTCCTTAACTCTAAAATGGGTACAAAGAATGGTGCTTTCCTCATATGGTGACAGTGAGGAAGTGAAAAGATAGCCCAGATTAGAAGCTTAGAATAGGGACCAGCACATAGCAAATGCTCAGTTAATGCTAGCTACTCTCTCTCATGGAAAAATCTCAGGCCAGAGAAAATCAAGTAACTTGGATCTCATCATGTAAGTCAGTGGCCAATGGAAAGATCCCAAACTAAGATGGCCTCACTTCTCGGGAGGTAATTTGCTCTGGGAGAGGACGCTGCCTCTCTGATGGATGTCTTGTGTTGCTTGTGCTGTTTTTCACTGGGCAATAGATTCTAAAATGCATCTTCATGATATGTGAAAGTCCTAGGAGTAGCCTCTTTACCTGCCCTCCCTTGCCTCTCTGTATGCCCCCTAAAGAAGACAGCGACCCAGGCACATGCCCATTCATCCTCCTGAATACCATCTTTGGTCCAAATGGAAACAGCCATGGAAGAACTGCTGTTTCCCAAAGGCCTTTCTGAGAATGATGCTGGGAATGAGGGAAGGCCAAAAGGAGATCAAAAAAGGAAAGGATCTCACTTCCATTAGCCTGAAAGGCTTACTTGGGCCCAGGGATGGGAAAAGGAAGTGGACAGAGTTGTTTTTTCTTTCTTTGTTCATCATTCTGGGCCTCCTTCATTTACATAGAGCCAGCAAAATCCTGAAACCTGGTTTATAGTACCACATGATGGAAGAGCAGGTAAAAATGCCTGATAGACAGACAGACAGACACAGCCACACAGCCACACACCCCCATACACACCGAGGCTCACAGGTCTCAGCCATGTCAATTACAGCCTGCTCTTCCTGGTCAAGCGAGCTGTTTGATGCCTGCAAAGGGTGAGTGGAGCACATCAGTCCCCCAGTCTCAGTTCACAGAGGACCAAAGACAGTCACTGCTTTGTCCTGCTCTGAGTCTTAACCAATTGTTATCAGTTCTCCAAGAGGCAGAAAATTATATATTAAATGTTTTTCTATGTTTTCCTTTGCACTAGCAGCACAGAGTTTAAATGGAGTGCATATGGGCAATGCTCACAACATGCATGTTCGTGTGATTCCGTGTCTGAGGGCCACCATGCCCAGCGTGGGATGCCACTGGTAGTCCTGCTGTAGGCACACAGATCTGTGGGCCTGTGTCTGCACCAGAGGGGTTGACTGATCACTCAGACAGAGGTAAGAGAACAAGGTGTGAATGACTGGTCCTATGTTAGAGGTCAGAATTGTCAGCACTGAAACTAGGGGGCAAGCCCAATGTTGATTCACCTTTTATGTGCATAGTTTAGTAGTCCCGCTTACCCATTCCGAGAAAAAGCTGGAGAAGCCAAGGAGCTCCTATTAGCCATAACTCCCTATCCAACAAGAGCACAGGAGGAGACAAAGTGATGGTCAGGATAAGTGGTTTCCAAGCTGCCCAGAGCCTGCACTCTGGCTTTAGTTCATTACTTGGGAAGCCTCAGGAAGTTTTCACAATAGCACTTCATAGGGCAGATGTGCATGTGCGTGAAGCGTCAGGGATGGGGTTCCATTGAGGCTGAAGGAGGGGACAGAAGAAGAGACCTCCTAATGATGAGAAGAGATGTGCCCAGGAAGTAGCCCTGGACAGCGCTTCCATCAGGCAATGCCAGTCCACATGCACACCAAAAATGTCACTTCAAAACTTTTGCCCACATATCCAGTCACTTTGACTCAGTTGCCTGAAATCAGATACCTTCTTAATCCTGTTCCAATAGGACTACCTTTGTTATCTACTAGAGACAACAAGAGAGCAATTACATAACAATGTCAAAATAACAAATGTAAAGCAAGCAACCCAGTATCTTGTGGGCTCCTTCCCCTCCTGGCTCTTTGTAAGTATGACTTTAAGGGGAAAATTCAATAAGGTGAATTTTAGCTTTATATCCTATTGCTATAGAAACGGCAATGACAGAATTCGTGTAGTCTTTTTTTCCCAGCACCTCCTCTCACCTGACACAAAGACCTGAGCACTAATTACATTCCCGTTAGCATTTTCCATCTGACAAAGAGTTCTCTGGATCAATTACAGATTCATTTATTTTAACTCTGGTACTACCTCTGGGTGGCAAGAGTCCGCACTACTGTTGACAGCAGCTGCCCGTCCTTGGCTGAAACTTGCATGACATACTGCGGCTGCCCATTCACTAGGCTGCCACAATCCTCCACCGTCTTCACCACGGGCGCAGCTGAGCTGGTGCAGTCTGGCAGGACTTCGGGCAGGTGACTGCAGCGGCTGGTTGTCATGGTAACAGACAGCAATTACTCTGCTAATGGCTTCCACATTCATACAGGATTTCCATCTAAGAGAGATCAGAAAACAGTTTACTTGGGCAGGGTGGTTAATAGAAAATGGAGAATTATGGGCCACCAACATCATCATGTCGTTATTTAATATAAATAACAGGAGTAGCCTAGATGTGGCACATTATCTTGTTACTATTTAATACAAGTGCGCGCACACACACACAGAGCCCACAAAAAACAGCAGATATGGTATGAACAAGACAGCAAGCATGTTGGTGTATATAAACATTTAGGAACCCTGCTTTCCACGAGGGGCAGAATGATGACTCAGGCCCAGATCTGAAGAGAAGATAAGCAGTTCTCTACTCTGTGCCAGAGAAGTAATAAGTCTTTGTTGACATTCTCTAAAAGTTACTAGAATCATTATTAAAAACATTCACAACTATTTTTTCTGGTAAGCAATTTATTCTCCATACAGCTTCATTCTGAGATACTAAGATTAAAAAGAGAGCAAGAGAAAGAAGGAAGGAAAATAAAAATGAATTTGGCCAAGTAGTAATAGCATGTTCTAGGACAGTATTTGCCAAATATTGAGTGCAATGACTTTACCACTTTCCTGTTGCATGATACAATTTTCTACATCATATATCTTAAAATTGACTTCCTTTAAAAACTGAACCTATTTTAGCTTTGTATTAAAGTTATTCATGAAATAATGAGTTTAATGAGCTTTTATTTTCTAATGGACGTGATGATAAATACGTTAGCATGAGTTCTTATTTGTATGCTACCTAAAATGCGGGCTCATCTGGATCATCATAGGGAAACACATAGGAGAACGTAAGAAAGTAATGAATGAGATCTCTATCACCAATTAAACATAATCCATTACTAATAAGGGCCTTACCTCCTAGACACATGGTTTATCATATAAACTGCAAGGAATTCTGTTCCTGATCTGTGTGGTGCAGGCTTGGGTCATGACCTCAAGTTCAAAGCACTCAGACCCATGGAGTGAGGAACCCCACTGGATTCAATAATAGGTCAGCATTTGACCTATTGAATAGAGGTTTTTACAGAAACTTGCAGGAAGAATTCTGCCCAAAGGTGAGATGACACAGTTTCATGACTAGCCTGCTTACCTCAGGCTCCTGAGCCCGACATGGCCTGGGCTCAGTAGACAGCAGTAGGATTAGTGGACGGACTGAGCTCACATCAACAACCCATTTGAGTGGTCAAGGCCCAAGGTTAAATAAATGAAATATCTTGTTGTTTGCAGAACCTCAAACCCCATGGGGATTTCTGGCATTCTGAAAGGGGTTGTTTTCTCCCAGATATTTGTCTCTACTTGTTACATTTTCCTTGATCCCCATGGCTCTGGAAAACAGGATCTTCCCAACTGCCAGAATAATGTGCAACTGGATACTCTCAGGGCAAGAATGCAGTATTTCCTGATGAACTTGAGCTAACAGTTTCCCTGCTGACAAGCACATGTCAAGCAGGCTTGACTGTCCAAAACAATTGGATGTGACCGTCATCCCTTCCTTGCTGCTGAGGTGTCTGGCTGGCCTCACACCAGCAGCCTCTTTCCCACCCTCACTGACCACCTGGAGTCCTCTCAGGGGCTGTGTCTGCCCTTGCCCAGCAGCCCTCCTGAACCCACAGTGGTGAGATGCCTGTGGACTCCAGTTCTTGTCTAAGACCTGACATGGGGCACAGGCAGGGGCTGCCCCCACTCACGCCATTTTCATGACCAGCAATACTGAACATTCAGCACAATCAGCCAGTTGGTATAGGGTACAGTTTTGCTTTTTAAATTGGATTCTTTGCTTTTTTTTTTTAACTGTAAAGCAATTAGTATATGATATGTTATAAAAACTACAGAAGAACACAAAGAAGACAATAAAGCTCACTCATACTCCCACCATTCGGATAACCCCAGAAAATTTTTTGGGTAGACATCTTATTATTTTTTTGAAAGGGTTGGCAGGGTGGAGTTGATTTGTGGCTGGAGCCAGAGAGTTGTTTTGTTTTGTTTTTAAAAATTGAGTTATGGTAGCTTTCAGACCAAAAAACAAAGAGACGTTAAAAGACTGTCCTATTCTAAAACTGCGCGTAACTCCTCTTCCCTGGCCTGCCCTAACAAAACTCCACTGACATGATTTTAAATTCTCATAATGCCTCACAGTCACAAAGTGTAACTTCCTGGCACAGCTCTCTTGCTTCACAAGGCAGCCATAGATTAAGAGCCAGGGGTGTGTTGGCAGGAAAAGCAGACACAGTGACCTTCTTGCCGCATGGAATCATTATGTCTAGATGCACTCTGAGAGTCTATTTTCGGGTTTTGCATAACTCCAGCTCAGAGGGCCAAACACTCCCTCCCTATACTTGATGGAACTGGAAAGAGGTGAGGAGGGGGTACACAGAGTAAGTGATGGGACCCAGGGCTGCCAGTAGTTAGGCTACCCTCTGTGAATTGCCTGTCACCCAGGCACATAATAGCCCCAAGTTCACACACTTGTAACCTAGATTAAGTCCTTGTCAAAGGAAGTAGTTCTAAATGTGTATCCTAAATCCACAATAAAATGTCCTTAAAAATTCTAGAAGCAGAGCTTCCCTTAAATTCATTTTATATATGTAATTTCACTTCTGGATGATTTCATTTCTCTTTTCATAGGTAAAAGGGATATTATCTGCCACCTGATCAGTTTATTCCATTTGTAGTGGGTGCACGGCACTGAGTTTAGGATAAAAGAACAAAAGGAACCTCACTTTGCCTTCTCCTACAAGGAAGCCCTGGCTCTTTCTCTTGTGCGATATCTGCAGAACCCTGCATCCAAGATCCTCTAGCTGTAAATCAATTTAGACTAACTAAAATGGTAGTCCAGTCCAGCATTCCCTGAAGAACATACCAGCATGTCTTCTGTATACCACACATCAGAATAACCTTAAGATTCTAAGGCTGACATGCCAGCATTGAGTCCCAACAGCCCTGAAAGACTGTGGCCTTGAATTAAAAATGGGGTAAGAGGGATTACACAGAGCATAGCACTCTTGATCATGGTGGGGATAGCTGCGTTGGTTCTAATCCCAGAATAGTGGATCTAATCACTTACTTAGGTGGAGGAGGAGGAAAGGAAGCACACTCTGTCCTGATCTCAATGAAAGGGAAGCCCAGAGGCCTAGATGCAGGCATGGGGCAGGCAGGAGCTGGCCTTACAAGCTGCATGCACCAATTGGCATGCATATGTTACACCTGGGGCAGTGACAAATGGCCCACTGCATTTTCTTGTCTGGTTCAGAGCCACCTGGGAAAACAGCAGGCTGTTGCTAAGGATGCTAGAAAGAGCTGAGCTGTTCGTTTGCAGCCGAACACTGGTCTTCTACTGATCTTTCTACAAAATTTCAAGCACGCTCTGACTGCTTTCTTATCAATGTCAGTGCACTGCTCTTGTGGTAAAGTACTTCCCAGTCTACCCAAAAATTCTTCTCTCTAGGAGGGAGCAGTGTATGTGTAACCTGGAAACATCAAATAGCACTGGTGGGATGGGTCCTTTGCTGGCCAGTTTTGACACCTTGTATAATTTCTTTCTCAGGCTGAGAATAAAACATGATTTGGCACTGGCCAAACTCAGCTGCACACAGTGCGAGGAGCAGGAGTAGGTAGATGAGAGGGAGACAGAGAAAACAGAGGGGGTGACCAAATAAATGAAAGCCTGATTAGAGAATTGTTAAAATAAAAAGGCTTATCTGTTAAACTGTGATCCCTGAAAAGGACAGAGTACTGGTCTCACAAAAGCAGGAGACCTAACCAGGCGGCAGTGATTCATTGCTGCCTTTCTGAATAGGTTGCCATTGGTAAGTGATTTCCATGGGAACATGGCTGGCATCATGAGGATGCGGCCACAGGTCATCGGGGAAGAGAAGGGAAGTAGGTTCTGCCCACCTCAGCAGCCCTTCTGCCTCAGCAGTCCCCAAACCTCCAGGAGAATCACAAGTTAGAGAAAGAGCTCTGTTCTTGGAGGCACAACATCAAAGCCTACACCCTGGCTCTCTACTCACCAAGGTAAATCACTCAGCCTCTCAGACTTTCCTGAGATTTCCTGAGTGTTTGAAATTAGGGTACTAATACACCCTGAGTCACCTCACCTGGTTGTTTGTGAATCTAAAACAAGATGATATATATGAATGCGCTTTGTAAGTAGGAACATGCCATGTACAGAGAAGTTTGAACTTTATTGCTATGTTAACCTTCATTCCTGCTCTTTTCCTAGCCCATCTTGTCTCTGTCTTTTGAAACCGTCTTTCCTCATATCTGGTCAGCCTCTACCACGATGCACCTTTTGTGTCACACTGGAACTCTGACATTGACCATGCCATCTCTCTCGGCTAGGGAGAACAGAAGAAGCCTCGTCCTTGCATACTCACTTCTCATTTTCCCTGGTCCCATCGCCTTCAGATCTGGAGCACAGGTTTCATTCTTCCATGAACATGCTTAAGAAAGATTTATGACAGGTGATGGGATGATCTGTGCAGCAAACCGCCATGGCACATGTTTACCTATTAACAAACCTGCACATCCTGCATATGTACCCCTGAACTTAAAAGTTGAAAAAAGGAGAAAAAAGATATAGAGGAAAAGATGCAATGATGTGAGAGATACTTGGGTCTATTTGTTATGGCAGCTACCATTATCTTAACTAATCTAATATATGATAAATACAGTAGAAAATAAAACACAGGCCAATCCCAAGGCCCTTTTCAGGCCTACTTGCATGAGAACTGCATTTTCGATGCCAAATCAACACTAATCTCTTAGATGGAGGTCAAGAAGTGGGAGAAATCTGTTATAATGGCACCTCTGTTTGGATAGGAAAATGACTCAAAAGGTTTAAAGGTGAAAACGAGACAAGGAGGATGTCAGTGCTGGCTGGCACCAGTGTGGTCACGTGAGCTGCCCGGGCAGTGGTCTAAGCAGGGCCTCACCTGGAAGCAGTCTGGAGCAAGTCTGTACCTCTGCATTCAACCTGCATGCCCAATTCCAGAAATTTCAAGA